CTTTGTTTATTTTTGTAAAAAGGGGATTTAAAAATTATTTTTGTTATGACTAAAAACATAATTCTTAGATGAAGATATAGACTGTTGTGGACTCTTTTAAGTCACGTGCAGGACTTGCAGAGCTTTTCCCCTTTGGGGAAGAACCCCACAAATTTAATTTTTTTTTTTTTTTTTTTTTTTTTTTTCCAGTGGGAAGCAGAGAAATCTCAGGGGTTCTTTATTTTCTATGTGAGTCACATACATTCATCATTTCTGTTGGAATTCAGCCTGTTGAAGTTGTTAACTTTTCTATCTCATGCACAGTGCCAGTGATTGGTTTGGATGTTGCACATAGATTCATTTTCCCACAGAAAAAGGCACATTCATTAAATGTTCATTATCAATTTGCAGCTTACAAAATGACTTCTACTTCTAGTTCTCAGGTGCTTCCTATGCTGTTGGCAGATGTTAAAAATTAGAATGTGAGCTAAGAGAATCTCCCTGGGGTCAGGGAGCTGGGATTTCCATTTCATAGTTGGCACCTGCCATTTCTCGGTTTCACGTCAAGGTGAGTTCGAATTCTCCGCAGCCTTTCTTCCTAATTGGAAACCTTACAGCATTAATCATTCCTGCAGTTACCTGGTTAGAGCATTGAGAAGTTGTTATTAAATGTTAACATCCGTTCCTGAGATTTGGCTGCATAAAAGTAAAAAATCCTGATTCTTCTTAACTTTTTTTGGCCTCATGTATTTATTTATTTATATTTAGCCTATCTTGTGTAGTACTGTTGTAGTGCAAGCCAAGCAAGCCCTTGGCAAGGTGAATGTGCACAACATTGCATGAGCTTTCAACTACTAAGAGTGTCCCCTCAGGACTCTGGAAGTATCTCTGAAAGCAGAACCCTTTCCTTGCATGCACCTTGTATTCCCTGTCAGATTGCTGGGGCTCCTCACCAAATTTGTCTCTGTCCTTCCAGCCTTTCCCTTCAGAATGGGAAATTCAGGTCTGGGATGGAGAGTAGGACCCGTTTGTTTTACTGTTTGTGGTTCAGTATTAGCAGTATGCACAAAGAGTCTATTGAGGGCTGTTGGAGCCTGGACATAAGCACTTTTGCTTTATCTGGGCAGTTGCATGAACCCTTCCATATGTGTGCCTACCTTTTTTTTTTTTTTTTTTTTCCACATTGATGGCTTTGCCAGGACACCAAGTCAACTTATATATTGGATTTTAAGAAACTTGCATCTCCTTTACTTGACAGTAGGCCTGGGAATATTTTGCCTTAAAACTGGAGTGGCTTTACTTCACTCATAGACATATGGAAAGGGATGAAGAAACCAAAGTGTCTTTAAAGATTATGTATGCCAAGGACTCAAACAGCTTCATAGTATGGGGCAGGCTTGTTTTAATACCTTGATACACAATATGGCAGCACAGTAATCCATTACACGTGGTGTGGAGTCTTGACACTGAAGTTCACCTGTTTTCTTTTGATGGACATGCTAAAAGAAAATACTGAGGTCTTCCCAAAGAAGAACCGCGACTAGATCACACAAAATGAGAAATTTAAAAATTGGTTCTGATTACTGCTGGCAATTATTTTTGCATTTGTTACAAAGCAGAAATCGGCCTTTGGCCAAAGCCAGTCTTTTACATTCCCTTGAATAGTCAGTTGGACTGATCAACTGAGTGGGATTTGGCTCTGGCATTCCAGCACAAGCTACTTTCACAATCACCCCCTTCTGTTTCTGCCTTTTCCTTGTGAGCAGTAAATCTTTCTGGGCATTTAATGCTACTCTCCCAAATGTCAGAATGTGCCAAGTACAAGGCTCCAGTTTCATTTTATAGTGCAAGAATTTAGCAGTAGAAGTTTCTATATGTTTATAGAAACACAGATACAGCTTTTAAAATACTTGACAGTGCTTACATAAAGATAGAGAAGCATCTTTACAAATGTTTATTTTCCTGAATATTATTTCAGCTCAAATTAATTTGTTTTCTGCTGGGAAAATAATATTGATCATAAAAATGAACTGCTGTTTGGAAATCCTTAGGCTTCTGTAATATTTCATTCAGGATGAAATGTGAGAATTACAGGCTTGATTCTGCTGCTGCTGAGGCTGGTGGCTAAATGCCAAACTCCCTTCAACTGGAGCAGGACTGAGTCTTTTCTTTTGCTAAAGGATATCTCAAACAGTCAATAATCCTTAATCCCTGATTTAAAGCACTTCCATTTGGTAAAGTTTTAATTCTGTTTCAACCCTGGAGCCATTTGGCTGAAATTGCGTTTGATATGCTTTCTGGAAGTCTAGTTTCTAAGTCTGTTTAGGAGTCTGTTTCTCCATTCTTAAATAGAAAGTATGTTTATTGAAGTAACATCTCTGGGTTGTTTGCCTGTCATGTTTGAAAACAAAAAAAAGTATATGTGACAAGATGCTGTTTCTACAAGGTGGGCTGCATGTCGAACACGTTCCCTTAGTGCAATCAGGTCTGTTTGAGACCCATTTTCCAGATCGTGCCTTCTTCCTCAGGCTCCACAAAGTGTCCTGTGGAGGGTGTAAAACTGTTGTAGAGGTGAACAGGCCTCAATACTGCTGAAGAGACCTGCTTTGAAAAGGGAGCTGTTGTTAGACCAACCACCCAGCCCCCTAAAGACAGGATAGAAAAAGTAAAGTTCTGCTTCCACTTTTCACAGTCCCTTGAAGAGGTCATTGTGAAGTCATGGGAGCACTAGTATCACATCACTAATTGCAGTAGTGTCACTGCCACTACTAGTGACAGTACTAGTCACTAGTATCTGACACAAGCATCAGAAAGAGATTTTAGCAACAGAAAGCTTCTGCACAGCTCTGGTTTTAGCAGAGACCTGAGAGGTGGAGCAGAGCAGAAGAAAAAAGGGCTTCATGTGTTCTCTTGCTCTATCTGTTCTTCTTGTACCAAAAGGTAGTAACAACATCTGTATTCTGCAATAGATATTGATGTCCCTTACAGTTTTCTTAGATACTGTCTTCTTTTTCCATAGAAACAAAATACTATTGACATACATGGAGCTGGTAACATGTCCAGGTGGTACTGAGGCTGAGATTCTTTTTTGTTACGCGTTGGTTAGTACTTAAGGCAGCTATTTATGCATCAAATAACTAACTCAATTCAAAAATAGCCCCTATTCTGTTTGCCCAAAGCTGTGATGCCTTCCGATTCCTTGTTAATACCTGGTATTTTAAGTCTGGCAATGTTGATCCACTGGCTTGTGTTTTCAGAGAGGAACCTCTAAGACTTTTTCAAAGCTGTGGTTTCTGTACAGTGCCTCTGCTGTGGTGTGTGAGTATTGATGGTTTTGGTATCTCTGATTTTCCCTCTTTGTCTGCTGAAGAAGTAATGCTGTTTACCTGCTTTTTCTGTATCTGTCCCACAAGAACATTTACACCTCTCCTATAGCAATGTGCCGAAGGCTACCCTGTTGAGCAAAATTTAGTCTATTGCCCCTTTGGATTAAAAATAGAAGTAATTTCAGAAACACAGAGGATGGGGCTCTCATTTTTGTCATCACTGTTATGGGAAGCCTGAGGTTTCCTCTCATGATAGAATTTATCTTGTTTGTGTATCTCCCCTGATAAATGAAAGTGAACTGAATAGCTTCTGAGTCATCAGTAAATAAAAGCTTATGGGATTGACAGGGTTTCTTTTAATCAATGGACTTTGAAGTCAGGCACCTTTCTAGGCAACATTGTTGTTCTATATCCTCCTGTGCATGAGGAACTGTAATTACGATAAAGATGACGAATGAGTCAGACTGCAGCGACTGTCAGTCTTCTGGAAGTTCTGTTGGTTGTTTAGACATGTGGAGAAGATACCTTTCTTCTGTACTTTGTAACTGGCGCAAAAAGTAAAGCGGAAGATGAAGTTGTTTTGGGCATAGAGCTTTGTCCTTCATGCATCTTTACCTTTTTGCCAATCTTACTGTAGATGAAGGTGACCCTTTAAGGCAATGCTGCCTGGTTTCATAGCTCTTAGCTATTCTAAGGTGAGATCAGGGGACAGATGTTGTCTGTAACACAGATAATTTGGATATGGTAGTTACCACTTGTCCTTTCAGAGCAATACTGTTTCAAATGTCTGTTCTCTTGATGTCTCCAAATGTCTCGTTTTGTATTCATCCTCACGGTGATTAAAACTGGAGTCCTGATCTTACCGCATGAAATCAATACATGAAATAGATACGTGGTTGCTGCTATTGGCCACTGTTTTATAAGCTTCTTGGGTGTGCTTTCAAAAAGGAAATAGCAATATGTTCATGAAACACATCAGAAGAATATGTCTTGTGGATAAAGGTGAGGGCAAGAGCTCATTAT